ATTTACACTATGGCGTGACAGATATTATAGACATACTAATAAACAGATAAACAAATAAACAGGCCACAAATTGAAACAAACAACGATCAGACAACGACACGAGATCCTATTTGAAATTCTGAACTCGTGTATGAAATACTAGAGTAATTTGAAGCTGTTAAGATTGTTTATGTATCGAGCAAGCTATATTAAAATTTAATGACTGCTTTCCCTATCACGCACACCGTCCACAACCGACAAAATGCTATACTCGTAGTCTCGTACATGGAGTTGAACCATAAGACAAAGTAATATTCATTATAGCATTATGGTAATTGCATTTGGCACACGCAATAAGGGATCACTATATAAGGTTCGATTGACCTAACAACATGGTCTAGATAATAAGTTCCATAAAGAACGACTTGTGTGACATTTCACACAAACTGACTTAAGAGTTCTCGGGTCATCGGGGTTGCTGTCCGTTAGATATTTATAGTGCTTGCGTAGTAATGTTTTCAATGATCCTATAGACTTAGTTGTGTCTCTAATATAACGAGGAAGAGTTTTCCACACGCTCGCGGCTCTTATGTAAAAACTGTTCTGGTAGTTGACTGTTCTGCACTTTCCCACATTTAGGAAAGTTCCATTACTTGCTCTTCTTGTTTCTCGTGTTGAAACTTTGACCGAGATATTGCTGTCAGAGTCATTTATGAGACTTTTACCGATATAAATGATGTCTAAATATTCATGCCAGTAACATAGAGGGATGATGCCAAGGATCTGCAATCTTTCTTTATACGAGATATCTGTTTGGTATGGCAGAGATAGGATGAACTTGGTGGCACGGCGCTGAACACGTTCGATGGTTAGAATGTTGCTGACCGTCTGGGGTGCCCACACTTGACAACCGTACGCCAGTTGACTGCGAACCAAAGTCAGGTAGAGTGCCTTGCGGACCGATTGGTTACCAATCATGTATGTTGTTCGCTTCACGAAACCCAGCATCTTGTTGGCCTTCGACGAAATCTCCTGCACTTGCTTGTTCCATTTGAGGTCACCAGTTATAGATATGCCAAATATAAACTGACTAATGAGATTCCCCGTATTTATCGCGTCATGCATGCAAAGCATTCTGGTCGGCCAACAGCAATGCATTCTGGTCGGTTAACAGCAGTGAATTCTGGTCGGAGAAACGGAAGTAAAATCTTACTTTCAGAGCCCAATACGAATTAGAACTGCTGACTTGCTCGCTCGTTTCGTGAGTGTTTCTGCTGGGGTCTACACCGCCGTAGGCTAATGGAAACCAGGCTTAATGAACGTGACAAAATCTTTCGAGAGAATTAAAAGTAGTCCTCGCTATGTTTACAATAGCAAACTGTTTGGTCGTCGTCTTCATTCGTTTAATTCCCTGAGATCTGCTAGAAGGAAAAGATGCAGTCACGCAGTGCACTGTACAGATTTGTTGAACTTCGTGATGACGACATAATTTCGAAAACGAATAAATAAAACAATTCTTGAACTCAGTTATCGCAAAATATCGCGATTTGTGAGTGGCTCGCCGCTCCGCAGATCAATTATTTTCCTCTGGCATCGGCAAATAATTGATCTGCTCGCTACTGACAGATTACAATATTTTGCTCAACCTCGCTATATTTTGGCTTTAAATTATTTATTAAAACATTTACTGTATTTACTTCTTATACGCGTTTATCCAAGCTTGCAGACAGCTCGGCACATTCGTCCTTGGACGAAATACTGAACACTATCGGACAGTATTTAAGTTGATATTTATTGAAATTGTTAATTCCAATTTCATATATTGTATTTGCGCTTTTCATGGGGGAAATTACTCTTGCAATGTCACACTTATGTGACCAAGACGGCAAAGTTTTACACATAGCTGATTCAACAATGGTTGTTCTTTGCAAACCTTAAACTCTAAGTGCGTAGAGCACAATGGGAGTACTATATTAATAACTTACTGACCGAAAGTGAGGGCAGTACGGGAAAATATCCAACCGAGGTGTTGCTGTATTGACCGAGCGATAGCGAGGTCAATACAGTAAGACCGAGGTTGAATATTTTCCCGTACTGTCCGAACGGTTGAGGTCAGTAAGTTCTTTATTATATGGCATAATTTTGTTGCGAAAATTAATATACATCCAGTCACGCGCCATTGTCACGCGATTGAATATGCGACAATTTGCGCTCGAGGCCTCGCTCGAGGCAGCGTGGCGAACGACAACTCAAAAATATATATGTTGTTTTAAATATATATAATCACAAATGTTTATATAATCACAAAGAAAATATTTACAAATGAGGAAAACGTATTGTCTTAAATTAACTGGCTTAATTGTTCGTATAAAACGTGTGTAAAACACAAAGTTACTTGCTGTTCGAAGTTCAAATTATATAAATCAAAGTGTCAACAAAATTAGTCCTCTTCATCGCTTTCAATACAAGTCTTCGACGCTTTTTCTCTTGGAATATCTACACTGGACCATTGAAGATCAGGAACTGACACTCTGAGATGCTGCTTATACTTGCACCAGCGAAAACGGCTTGGTTGTTTGAATCTTCACGGTGTGCTTCGAAAGACTGCAGTTGGCCGAAATGGGTTTCGGACTGCATGGGATGTTGGCTATAAATTTTCAAGAGGATCAAGTGCTCTTCTTGGTTGGTTTTGTGCTGAAGGTTGGGTTCTGCTAAGTACACTGGACATCTGAAGCTGGTGTTGTTCGCTTGCAGATTTATACGATTGTAGACTTTGCAGGTTCTTGTGTCCACTCAGTTGGGCCACGAAGATTTCGGAAGTGTTGGCGTGTAACAGCCTTAATATACTGGTTTTTCTAACAGAATGGTTACTTAATTAATTTTCCCCCGTCTCGCTGAAGACCAGCATTTTGTGCTGCTTTGCTGAGAAACTTGCCGATTTCATTCTTGCCAAGAGGAGATTTCATATACCAAATGTTGTTGTTTTGATGGCGCTTCCCATGTCTGACAGCAAGAAAAAACGGCGGGTCTGCTATATTCATTTCGACTGGACGATGGCTTTTGACATTTCGACTGGACGATGGCTTTCTGATCCAGTGGCGTAAATCTTTGGCTGAAAGGATCTTTGGTGACCGTTTTCTTGACCATTCCGTGTTTTTGTGCCTCGTTCACACAGCCAGACGAGCATTTCGGGACCATCAGTGTTTCTTTGGAGTTGAATATCGCCCCAACATAACTTACGGCTTTCGTCTCTCGCCCTGAAGCCAAAGTGGAGTGCCAAAAACCACCACATGGTTCTCTGGAGGACTTCCGGTCCAGACATACCAAACAGTCCACATTCAAACAGTTTGTCCTCTTCTTCTTGCGTGAGAGAGCGAGTAGCATTTGGCTTGTTTCCCTTGCCGGCTTTGTTTACTAAAATTTTTCGTTTCGCTGCAAGAACTTGGCGGGACATTTCAAATTCTTTGTCTCTCAGGATGTTAAACTGGGATTTATTGTCGGAAAGAAAGCGCTGAATACTCCTTTGGAAACTTGAAATCGTTCCCGGTTCGTACTTTTCGCCATTTAACTTGCGGATATCTTTGAAAAACTTGGACAACAAGTGGTCAAGCTCCTGTGCTGGTAAGTACAAAATGTTAAGGTTTAAATATTGTTTGTTTATTTCAGCTAGATACCGGTCGAATGCATTCATGTCGGTTGTGGTTTTTTTCACCGTGTTTACGCTTTTTTTCTCGCTTATAAAAATGTCAATTTCTTCTTGGCTGTTTCGCTGCACATACTCGTTGACATTGTCGTCGTGAAACTGATAAAAATTGGTTTCATATTCTTCATTTTCTACTTCTGGATAATAAAACTCGCTTTCAGAATGCTCTTCGTTGCTCATTATAATAATGTTCTTCTAGTTGTATGTGTATTTTACTGAATTTCAAAGTTTTTCCGATTGTTTTTCTCGCCGTGCAATAAAAATTGCATATTGCCCGTGGGCAATACGGGAAAATCCTGCCTCGTCAGCAGCCAATCAAATTGCGCCATTCACTAAAACAAATGCTTGCCATATAATAATATATCTTATTGGATTCTTCTGAGCCCAATATGGCAAAATATTAAGTCGAGACTTCAATAAGCGAGACCAAAGGTCGAGCCTAATATTGAAGTCGAGACTTAATATTTTGCCATATTGGGCGAAGATGAATCCAATAGAAGTTTTATTACATCGAGCAAACCAATTCTATAACAAAAATTGTCAATAAGCGATAAAATAAATACAACGAGACTAATACAGCGACAACATTACTACATATATCGGCGGCGAATTTGCTTAAATAACTAAACAAAAAGTTAATAAACCTGTTTTTACAAATATGTGTGCATAAATAAACTCATTTCCATGTATGTTTAAAGGAAATGTGACCTAATTTTAACGAAAAAAAATAATATTACTAACTTTTAGGCTGTTGCAAACAAATAAATTTCGCGAAGACAAGTTTTCCCGCGCTTTTATAATTTTAAACAAAACTGGTAGAAAAATCTGTATTAATGTCCCAAATTCTTTTCATTATTCTGCCATATCGTTTTTCATATGTTTGAAATTGACAAAACATCGGAAAAGGGTTGAAAAACCATGAAAAAAGCCACAATTCGCAACTGTCCAATAGGTTCCTGACCAATATCGTAAAATATTGGATCGGCACGTGACCCTCTCAACGATTACTGATTGGTTAAGTGCGCGTGAGTGTATAATAAAGCACTATATACATAGTAGATTTGGATATTTGTAAGTGAAACCATGGGCGTTTTCCATTTAATGGCTGGACCGATCCGACCCGGATTATTTTCTCTGTATCTATGTGTCTCAAATATCTAGCGAAAATGGACCTCATTCTAATGTTATCTAAATTTTCCGGTCAGATAGGTCGGAAACCCAAATGTTTTGTGTTCCATTCAACATTTTGACCGTTCTGACCGGTCTGGCCGTGTTAATGGAAAGCGCCCCATGTCCCTCACAAATTTAATGGGCCCATTAGGCCCATAGGATTAGAAACATAAGGTTTAGAGTTTATGCTTTGCAAGGGAAATTTTTTTTGGAATATCGAATTGGCTGGGTAAACAGTTTTTAGGCAAACGATCGAGTTATTGTGATGTAATTTCATAATAGCTTCTTTTATGAAATATATAGTCGCTTGAAAACTTGTTCGTATTCCTGGTATTGTCAACAAGGAGAATTTCGTTCTAGACCAGCGCCTTTGTTTACATTATTGTCTAAGCCAATAAACTGCCTAAAATTTGGGGATCATATGGGGTCACTTCAGAGATTTGCTACAAGCGATTTTTAAATTTTTGCCATGAAATTGATATGGGTTGTTCTTAAAATAATTCTCCTCAACTTTCTCGTGGGTATTTTTTATTCATTGCGTGATTGCGAAAATATAGGTTTTCAAACTTTGCCTTGCACAAGCTTAAGATGGCTCTATACAGTTTTTAGTGCAAAGTGAAGACGTTCTCATATTTAAACTAAAGCATTTGAAAAGCGAATCAATTTGGAAAGTTATTTTCGAGAGTATCGTTCAAAACTTTAACTCAAATTTGAAAGTTTGAGCAATTAAAGATGGCGACTGGAATCATAACTCGATCTGCCAGTCAGGCCGAAGGCTCCTTTGCCGAATTCGCTAAGATGATGGACGAATACTTAAAAAATTCCAGTATTTTCTAGGATGTCATTGTTAGTGCTATTAACACCGCAATCGATGTCAAAATTCAGCCGCTACAAGAAGAGATTGCTTCACTCAAGGACGAAGTAGCTTCGCTCAAGTCAAAGTTCGTCATCGTAGAAGCAAAAGCTAATGAAAACGAGCAATACTCTCGGCGAAATAATATCAGAATTTTCGGTCTACCCGAAGCGAAGGATGAAAATTGTTTTAAAATAGTTATCGATTTGTGTAAAGACGAACTCAAAATTGATGTAACTAGTGACGACATCGACCGAGAACATCGTGTCGGAAAATTAAAGCAAGCTGACGCCCTAATAGTAGGCGAAGGTCAAGCATCTTCACAGCCTCGACTCATGATTGTGAAATTAAACGGCTATTTTACCAAGCTAAAGTTCATGAGAGCAAAAATAAATCTTGTTGGCAAACGGATATACATTAACGAAGATTTGACGAAAATCAATCATTATGTTCGGCAGGCGTGAAAGTTTATTCAGTCGATGAAACTGTTGTAGCTAGAAAGCAAGATCGCGTGTACCGTATCAAATCTATTGATGACCACGTCAAGTATGGTCCGGCTAAATGTTTGAGGACGCCTACTATACCAGAGAACGATAAGATACGTTTTATTATTTCCTTCTATTTTATAATGTTTATACTATCGTATTCGGATTTTTTTTGCAGCAGCAGGTGAGCAGTTTGAATCTTTATTTTTGTTTGAGTTCTCATGGGAGTTAGTTAAGATAGTTAAAGGGCAGCTATTGGACTTTTTAATTGTCATTTATCATACTCTATAGTAAGTTATTTGTTTGTTCCTTGTATTTTGAATATATGTTTTTATTTTTTTTCTTGCGGTCCGAAGTCATATTTTACGCTTTTCTGCAATCTGATTGGCTACGTGAGCGGTCCGTATGAGCCCGTACGGACCGCGCGAGATTTAAAGCCGTAGAGCCAATGTTTTTATTTTTCAAA